GGCACATGTCAACAACATGCGCTTTAGCCTTCTGCAACATCTCTACGTTGTCATGACTTGTAAACGGTTGAAAACCATTATCCTACGTTCGTAACTGCTCCAAGCATATGATTGTCTACTTGTCGAATGTAGTTTTTGTGAAAAATTAGTGTTGAGATAACATTTTAAATATCTAAAATATTCTAAGTCTTTGACGTCTGTCGAAAGCTTCAACCTCGACATGGTATCAAAATATCAGCTACATTTGCTATTGAGATTCTTCCAAACCAGGTTCAAGATATATTCTTGAGACTCTTCCAAACCATATTCAACATGCTAGTCAAAACGCTCCAGCTGCCATGTTTGACTTATCGAAGCTAGTCATTAAATGCTAACACTTAGCATTCTCTCCATGCAACATTATTTGTTAACGTTTTCTTAAACTTGAAATTCCATGCTAACGCTATCCCAACTACATGATTTGCATCTTTATTTCTATTTACCAACATCACATTTTCAACTACCCTGAGTTTAGGTTATTCAACTGGTTAGAGTACAACTTATTGTTGCACTTGGTTATTAGGAACTGGCTAAATTGGTGTTAGAGGAACACCAAAGAAGTCAACAATTCGACTCATTTTATGTTCTAACTGTTGGTAACTATGATTGATATTTTGGATCAAAGGATTAAACACTATACTAATTTATTGAATAAGCATATTAACCATATCATGGTTACTATAATCCATATGTTGCCTTACATACAAAAGGGGATTATTAGTTAAAGGTGGTATAACTTGAGGGATGTATCCCAATCCTCCATGAAATTGACCCATTCGACCTGGACTATTTATGGTAGACCCTGATGCAATGTATGGATTAAAAAGAAATGCAACCACCATTGCACTATTTGCATACATCGACATGTTAGCTTGTAGGTCTGTCATTATTGTAGTTGGCACGCCATAAGGATACTCCCTACCACTATGGGGAAGGGTAAAACTTGGAAGAAACAGAGACCTAAAATCTCTTACAATGGTTTGTGTAACCACAAGATTTATAGGAAAACTAGTTGGTGGTGGTATCACCATTTCTGGTGTTGCAGTCGAACTCAACGCCAGACTCATAATATGAGCAGTTACTCCAACGGTTGTTGAAGTACATGTACCACCAATTGTTGTTCTGATTGGTTGTTCTTTTTCATTTAAGTGTTACTATGGGGAGGAGGAACACCTTGAGGGGATGAATTTCCTGATGGTATAGAAATATTAATAAATTTACCATTCCTCAAACGCATAAGCACTCAACAATTGACAACATTTAGATGCGTGAAAAACATAAAAATGCACATATAATCTCTGCAAAAAGTTTAATTTTCGAACAAAATAGTCTCAGTGGGTGTACCAATTTATTTACCGGTGTTTTTAGTAAACAAATCGCGAGTTTTTATTCACTTGCAGGATTAAACTGAAAAAAATCCTAAGGACATTGTGTGTGAAAAACATGAGAAAGTGTATTTGTGCTTAAAAGTTCTATGTTTGAATTTAAAAAATTGGATAAGAATTTAAAGAAGTAAAATGCAGAATTATTTGAAAGGATAAAATAAATGATGAAAGACATTAAAAATAATTGAGTAAATATGCTTAAATTAAAAGTGGGATACAAATTCATACATTTATCGCAAATTCTTTATCTCTATGACTCAAATGTGTGAATTCTAAAGAGAATAAAATGAAAATGTGAGCCCCCTTTTAGAAAATGAAATCTACTTATATACTAAATATATTAGTAATTGTTAACGACGATTATTTCTTCAGAACTTGACATATATCATGTTACATGGGCAATTTGTTTCCACGTGTCTTTAACACTTCAAATTGCTTCAAACCGCTACTGCTGCTTCAAACTTCCACTATTGTCGATCTGTCTCTAACTCACCTAATCCTTAGACTCAAGAATGTATTAAGTCCCAACACACTTGATAGGCGAGTCGAACTCATCACACCTGATAGGTGAATCAATCACATCACCTATATTGAAATGACTAATATGTCGAAACTATAGCTTGATCATCTTACACTCAATATTTTCATACCTTTATATCACATCTTTATGTCGAAATGCTAAATTAAAATTTTTAGACTAACAGACGATCATTCTGATCCTTAAATGTGTGATGAAATATCATTATAGTAGTTAAATGTATTAAAACATAAAAAAAATAAAATTGTTGATTATTTTACCACTCAAACTAACCAATAAAAGACATATTCAATGCCCAAATTACTTTATAAAATATTTGAGAGCTAACCTCACTAGAAAACACATATTCAAGGTTGACTTTGTAACTTTGATTCATTAAGGACTATACTAGCCTAGTCTTACATATTCAAAATCTAAATAGTCTTTCACTCATTTTCAAAATTTAAGATGAATTAATCTATGTCAATTTATTTGTATGGTTGCATTTCAAATTGTTCGACAAAGATTATCTCTACTTATAAACATATTTTTTAGACTAAATAATTTGTTTGTAAATTGAAAAGGCTCATGTTTAAACATATTTTCAGATCATATGAGAAACTACAACTGAATTTGGTGCGAGAATATAAATAATATGTGACTTAATAATAAAACTCTAATAACAAATGGTCCGACAAATTAGATAAATTATAAAAAAATCGTAGGTTAAACTAACTTAAACTTACAAAAAAAAAAAAAAAAAAAAAAACCACATTCTAAAATAAAAATTATCTTAACTTATAAAACATACCTTAACATCTTACTATTTCATCATGTGAGACTCTTTATCATGAAAAGTATAAACAAATGATTTTAACAAAGCTCTGAAAACAAAACAAAAACAAACACTTTGTATTTGTCAATCTGGTAGAGTCACGGACTTTAACCTCAATTTTTGGAATTAAAACTTTGAAACATCTTTGGTAACCGAGCAAAACCCTGCATATCTATGATCTTTATAAAATAATTTAATAATGTGACACATAAAAGCATGCAGATCATACCAAGTTTTGTATTCTAAATATTTGAGTGGATATAGGTATCAATCAAACCAAATACCAAATTTTCTGATACTGAAATTAATTATATCTGCAATGTGCAATGCTCCATCTTTGTCATGCGGACTAAAATAAATAGACCAAATAAATTGCAACAACTTTCAAGCCATTGTTAGCTAAATAAGTGCCACAAGTTCGTGATTGATTTCACAACTACGTCACTCTTAAAGAGACGTAAAGTGCATTAAGAAGAATAAGCTGTTTTTCACGTGTTAAAATAAAACACACTTTATTGCATACTACAAGTTAGAAAATCACTCTCAATGTATAAGATCAATTAATGACTAATTCAAATTCAAAAAAGTTCAACTGAATCATATGATGTCATCATGATTCTACCAAAATTAACATCAATCTAATTCAAAAAGTTTTATTGAAATTAAATTTACTGTCTGAAACATTTGGTTATTGGAATCAGACTCATTTCCATATTAAAAAAATAGAATATACTTCGTCCATTCTTTTTTATAAGTAAATTTTAAATATATATATATATATATATATATATATATATATATATATATATATATATATAAATTAGATATATTATATTTAATAAATTTATTAACAATAAATTTATATATAAATTAGATATATTGAATAAATAATTTATTTAGACTATATATAAGTTAAATACATTAAATTAATTACTTAATGTATTTAAAATGTTTAAATTTGTTTGTAAATAGAAATGAAAGAGGTACTCCTCATATAAAGTGTCTCATTAGTATTTTTCTTTCTTTATTTCATATTAATTGATCATTTACAATATCAATACAACATTTATTATAATTTTTAATTATATTAATATTTATTGATTTTCACTTTATTCAATTATTCTATTAATGATAGTTAATAAAAACATTCTAGTAAATTAATGATATGGTCCTTAATATAAAAGAAAGTTTACGTTTTAGATTCATTAAAGTATCAATATATCTAGACTATATGTAGTCCAAATACATTAATTGTTCAATGAACTTTAAAATTAAAATTTTTTTTATATTAAATATCAGACATAACATTATTTTTAGTAAATAAAAATTGTTTTAGAATGATAGTATTTTTACTTTTTAATATAAAAAAATATCACTTTTTTAATTATGTCATAATTATATTAATCTTTATATTGCTTTCAATATATCAATAAGGTCAATTTTATAAATATAACATCTAGCGACAATATCATTAAATTTTTTTAATTTATATACAAAAATCTTAAACGTTAATAATTTTAAAACGGATCTATAGTATGTGAGAACAGTAAGAAGTGAGGTGGCTCTAATTTGGAAGGAATCAGGAAACAGGAAAACAATCTCTTTATTTTTAAAAAATATTCTTTTTTATTGTTAATATAGAAAAAAACTTTAATGATTGAAGATTTGGATGAATAGACCCAAATCAAACTGTAGACAGCGATCTATTACCATATATACTACCATTCATCCCCAAAACCACTATCAGCCACGTCACTTTCTCAATTTTTTAAATTGAAAATATTTATAGATAAATTATTCAATAAATTTAGAAAATAAATATTTTTGTTAAAAACTTCACATAGAGGGATTAATATGTTAAGTGAGAATAACATCTGATCTAATCATGATTAGGAGTGAAACAAGTGTAATTTGATTTGTTCCAAAATTCCTGCTGTCATATTCTTATACTGCCACGTGTGACAAAAACACAAAAGAAAAGCTCCAAATTCATGAATGACTCAAGTCTATTCCATTTTAAGTATCCAAAACCGCGTCCAATTATAATATTATTACTATATTATTATATGATTATTACACTATTATTACGGCATTATTTTAATATAATTTTCTTTGCATAAGACAACATAAATAATCTCTCCTGACTCCACTTTCCTACCCTCTTTATAACACTACAGAAACAGAGAGAGATTCATCTTTTTTTTCTTTCTTCTTCTTTCAAATAATGGCAATTTCAGGAACAGAGTCACAGTCACAAACTCAAACTTCAACAACTACTGTTATAAAAACCGTTAATCATGTTGAAGTTGAGTGTGTGAAATGCGACTCATGCAGTTTCACGGAAGAATGCACACCTGCGTACATCTCCAAAGTTCGTCAGAGATATCAAGGTAGATGGCTCTGTGGACTCTGCGTTGAAGCTGTCAAAGACGAAGTTGTTAGATCAGAGAGGCTTATCACCATTGAAGAAGCACTCAATAGACATATCAGTTTCTGTAAAGAGTTCAGATTGTCGTCGGCTAAAACTGAACATCCTATCTTTGTTATGAGCAGAATTCTTCGCCGGAGTTTGGATTCTCCTCGACGGTCGCCGCCACTTCGGTCGAATTCTGCTGGAGTTCTTCCGCCGGTTGATCGCGTTCGTTCTTCTTCCTTGATTCGATCGGAGAGTTGCTTTTCGTCGATATCTGGTTAATTTAATTAGCTTTTTTTTTTCTTTTCTAGTTTAGACTCATTTTGCAGTTGGAGATGAAGCTTGGAATAATTGAAAACTGAAACATATGTTTTTCTCTCACTGTGATTAATGTTAAAATTACATATATTGTTATAACAAAAGGTCTCTAACATTGAAATTTGTGTTTTGATTGATTCATGAATCATGATGGATCTGTAATTTGTTCCATGTGTTTCATGAGGCCAATTTGATACTGTTAGATTTTTTTGTTTTGTTTTAGGATCTTTAATGTAAATAGAGAAGATCTTTTAGACTTTTTAGTATCGAATTCTCAATTTTGTTTTTCTATTTTTCGGTTTCACCACTCCCAAACACAACCGTGAATATCATGATTCGAAACTCATCGCGGCAATTTAATAATATTGGTTCCTACGAGTGGAATTAGGATTTGGCATACATTTACCTATAGCAATATTGGTTTTTGATAGTTGAGTTAAGATTTGTGGACATTTTTGGGTGATATTTTGTCAATGAAGAAATACAATGATTTAAGGGAATAAAGCAAATATTCTGCTAGCGAGTAATATTCAATAAGAACAAAAAAGACAGCACAAACATGGCAAAAGATAGGCTGGCTCAAGGCTCAAGCATTCCTTAAAAGAATCAATTTTGCATTGATTGGCTATAGCTGTGATATGAGTGCATACAAGAATCTGAAAATCTTAATATCTTTTCCATATCAATAATTCCATATGAGATGGGATTAGCTGTTTAATTTAATTAGGAAAGATTAATGATTTTTCATGTTTTTTTTTTGCATTTTATTGCTAACAAGATAATGACGCAAGAGGAAACTGCAGAGAAATTTCCCTTAACATAAAAAGCCATAGTTTTTGTTAGGAAAGTGTAATGTTTCAAGGCTTGAATTTGGATGTTACTAGTAATAAAATTTTGGCAGTTTCAAGCCATTGTTTTTGTACTCTTTTTAATGGTTTTAAGGCTTTCTAAAAATATGTGGTACTTTTCATGCCTGAACTGCATTATGATCACTAGGAAATAATTTTACCAACAAAAGAAAACATCTCTAGAGAGTAAAGTTAAAAAGCTTTTACTATGATTCACTTGGAATGATTATGAGAAATCTTTTGTATGCGACAGTATTTTGTAGTGATCAAAAGATGGAGCAAAATAAAATTTTATAAAAGAAAATGTTTTTGTCTGATATATTGAACTTTCTGGATTTACCTACACTCCACACCTCTGCTAAATGTGCATAATGTCACACAAAAAGAGAGTGGGGACAGTTTTTTAGTGTTCCCTAATAGAATCAGATGTTCTATCAAGTATCAAGCTTAAAATAAGGTAAAATGAGATCTTGACGAATAAAGTTAACATTTCAATTTCAATGCTAATGTCAATGAGAAAATGAAAAGTATACGAGAGTGATAATGAATTTAAATATTTAAAATAAGACATTTTTTTCATTATATAATAAAAGTGGTTAAAATCGTTTGCATAAAGTAAGACATGTTATACAAGTAGCGGTTGGATTTAATTAGACGATGATAGACGTGTTTGAAAGGCAAAATTGTCTATTCTTGAACAAAGGAGTGTTTTTGGACCTTTGGCTTTGGGTCTCACCAACAAACACAAAACAATTACACTTCAGAACTAATAAAATATCACATGACGTTGCATTTTTCTCGGTATGTTAGTTGAAAATTTGGAGTCAATTCACTCCAAGTTTCAGCACCAAGTTTTGATACATTTATATACTTTTAACCGTGTTTACGTGTTTTGTACGTGTATATCATCAATATCATCAACAAATTTGCCACATATAGGCTGTTGTTTTAAAAAATAAACAAGTCAATATCACGTTTCAAGTATTTAACTCCAATCTATCTGCTTAGTTTGACACGTTTCTTGCCGATCTTAAAAAAGTACATAGATGAAACTGCACGCGGATCATCATTTTAATTCACCATAAACACCGAATTACAAGTACTTTGATGTGAGCTTTAGGGTCAGAAGTGACTCATATGGTCTTTATTAGATCATGTTTGAAAATAGTTCAAAACTTAAAGAACAATAGGTGTCGCTTTTGGTTAGTTGAAACTTGAAACTCTTGGTTTACATAATTAAGAGAGTTACCGTAAGAAAAAGTCATATTAGCTGGATAATTTAGCGGAATGAGATTCACCTTATAAAATAATAATTATTGTTGAATGTCAAACACCTTGCAACTCTTTTATCAAATAAAATTATAAAAAAATAGATTTATTAAATAATTCACCTCGCAATTAATTTGGATGAAAATTAAAATTTTAAAACAAGATTTGAGATGTGCTAAACACTTCGCAAAGTTATTTTTAAATTTCAAATTTTAAACGATATTACATGTCAATTCGGTGCAAAGGGTGGGTAAGTCGTGTCAGAAAAGTAGTGTAATTATCACTAAGCAAATTTACATGTTTTGTGACGTGATTCCCACTCTGCAACAAAATGTTATGTTGCGTGCATTTCATCCAACGGTATTCAAAATATTTGCGGTGTGAATTACACCCAGTAAACTGACAGACACAAATTCTAACACACTCACAACGGCCATAATGCAGAAAACATGTATTTATTTATGTTCAGCATGTTCCTCGCATCTAACTTTATATCTTACCACGCAAATACATTGTTCTCTCATCCTTCTTCTTCATCAATATATCATCTAGACTTATTATAAAAAGATCTCAATTTTTTTACCTCAAACCTAAATCTATCATCTTCTTTATTTCATTATCAAATTTGTGATATAAAGTTCATGATTATTATAAGATACATATTATATTTCCAATTTTTTTATTAATATTTAATTATATAAATTTTTTTTCCAGATATTATTAATGAGGATTATATTTGAGTTTTAGTTGTTTATGTATCTTAGAGTTTTCAGATATAATAGTTTGTGTTAGAGTTTTAGTTTCAGATATAATATGCCTAGAGTTTTAGTTTTAGTTGATTATGTATGTTAGAGTTTTTAGATAATATTGTTTTCATTTTTTTTTATAATAAAATTGAATAAAAGTTTATATTATTTTGTTTTCAGATATCATTATTTTGTTATATAAAATAAAATAAAAATATTATTGTCAATAAATTCTATTATATTATTATTTTCAAATAATATAATATTAAAAACATTATTTTAATAAATTCTAAATTTAAATATTATTGAATAAAAAAAATCTATATAATATAAATATATAAATTTATATCATATTATATTATATATAAATTTAATTATAACAAATATTCTATATAATATAGATATATAATAGTTAGAAGTTTATTGAGAGGTACTTAGGTCCAATAAAACATGCTGCATATTTTTTTTTATAAACAAGTTGAATGAATTAGTGTAACATTCAAGTAAAGTAAAGCATGATAAAAAAAATGGTCCTATGGTGAAATACTCATGTTTTTCCCATGTGGAGATTATGTTTGAAAACTAAATTAGATCAGTTAAACATTTATCCATTGCTATTGCTTCATAAATCTAGCTCCAATTCTCATCATCAAGCTAGTCAACTATTTTACTTAATGGAATCCATCATTTCAAGGGTCACCTAAATAATTTCAATCATGCAATTTATTCAAAAAATTAGTTTACCAAACCCTTCTTACAATACTCTCGTGAAGTTAATCTGAATTCTATACTCCACCCTCAACGAAAAATTGTTAATATGATCCAACATGACTAAGCATTTTATGACCACAGTTTTACTACTAATAGTAGAACAAGGACTAAACGTGCAAACTTTATCACGAGTATTCTTTTCCGTGATTTTCTATGGCCCTACGTTGATCACAATGATCAATAAACTCATTATTGCATGATGCAAGCCCAATAATGTTTAATAACGGCTCTACATTGCTTATTTTTGGGGTTTCCTTTTTGATGGAAGAATGAAGCATGCGACTTGTTTGGATGCTGCGACTACAAGAAAATCATTGTATTAAACATTCTTTAATTGAACCTACCGCTAGTGGACGCTGGAATTAATCTTCGGATGCGATCTTAAAACCAAATACAAAGTTTTTAAAAGAGTTTTCAGTTGGAAGATACTTGCGTTGAGTATCACATTACACTTATTACAAAAGGAAACACATATGCATGGACGAATGCATATTATGGGTTGTGAAGGGCCCATACCTGCATATTATTTTGAAGAAAAAAATTGAGAACTATGCATAATATATTCTATGTTTCACATTTTGACCAACGATACATAAAGTTCACACACACAACACAACAAAATGGCCGACACCCAACAATGTGGCAAATAAAAAGAGCTTATTCATAGAAAACATTTTGTATATCCAATAACATATTTGTTTATAGAGTTTCTATATGTGATATTACTTGTGGCAGACTTGTGACAACTGCCAGCAACTGCAACAGTTGGAAACATTTTCTCTACTATGAAAAATGGAAAAGAATCTCCTTTGATTACAAACAATGATAACATTTTGAGATTTTGCTTACCTCTCAATGCCAAAAGACCATATTCCTCTGAAATGATAAGATGTTCCCCTCTCTAATCCTCTTTTATATGTATAGACAACATGTCTTTAGTGGCGGGTTTTGACAAAAATATTAGAGAGAGCAATAAATATTCACTAAATATTATAATTAAAATTGACTTAAAAATATAAAATTTAGATACAATTTTTTCAAATATTCAAAATAACTTTAACAAAATAAAAATATAATATATAAAAAAAGATATCTAACCTCGATTTAAAGTACCGTCTTTCACTCTTTTAAAGACTTGAATTCATCAATAATTGAATCAGTGGTGAAGTGTGCAGCTATATCTTTTTCAATGTAAAACATCATAGTGTCAGCAAAAAATCCATCCTCCATCTTATTGTGTAATCTTGTCTTGATTATCTTCATTGCTGAAAATGATCTTTCTGTAGTAGCTGTAGAAACTGAAAGAGTTAAGATAAGTCGATCAATCAAATAATATGTATCTGCCTTCCCTGTCTTTTTTAGAGATTCATACAATTCAGACATAGTTGACAAATTATTTAAATCTGGATGACCAACAACATCAAGATGAAAGTGTTGAAGTTGATATCTCAAACTAATTTTCTCATGCTCACTAAAATTTGTAGGATAGAATTTATCTACAAGAGCACATATATTATTTATATCAAATGCTTTATAAATATCCTTACGAACCAAACTATTGCTTAGACTTAAAAGCTCCATTGTTTGCTCACAAAACCTATGATTCAATTCTTGCAGCTGTTGATCAATTGTAACACAAAAGAGATCCACTCTTAAATGTTGACCCACAATGATGTAATTCATTTGATGACGCGCACGACCTTCACACTCTATATAAATTGCATTACAATTAGGAGAATCAATATCATGTTTTTCACAAAATAATATTACATCTTTCAACAGACCATTTCATCCATCTTCTCTTAACTTTTGTATGTATGTAATAAATTAATAATTAACTCTAAACATGGTATAAGTCTGACTATAAAAACTCAATAGCAAGCGTTGATTCATCTCCGATTTTCAATGAATAATTTGTAAATGCAAATTATGATTGCATATTAGTTTCTTATTTGGTGAAATGAACATATCTTAAATTTGAGTTGTATTGGTCTCTAGATAAACAGAGTTGTATGTCTATTTTAAATAAAGATTAGGAATTGGACTTTTTTTCTCACATTACATTATAATTTATAATTTAGATTTAGTTTGCTGTATAATTTTATTAGATTTAAGTGTAATTGATTATTTGAAAAACGTGATTGACTATTTGTGTATTTTTTTAGCAACTATATAATGGTTAAACATAAGACAATTTAAGCATTTTTAAAAAGAAAAGCTTCCGATAAAGATGAAAATGATATAGCTTCAACATCGATATTTGAGGAGCCTTCCGGTGAACAAACAATTCAAGTTCAACAAGATGAACAACCTCGCAAGATTAAAAAAAGTCACCATAGAAGAATTTGATATTAATTGCTTAGAACGTGAACGTGTCCAAATTTGGGAATATCCAATAAATCAAAGAGATGAAGTTCAAAGAGCTTATCTTAATTGGGGTCCATATCAATGCCAAGTTGAAAAGTATCCCCTTAATAAAGATAAAAATCCAAGACGATTTCAAGCATCTTGGTTTAAATTAAATGTTCCCTTCATGGCTAGAATATTCTCCAACTAATGATGCTCTTTATTGTTTACTTTGTTACTTGTTCAGTAAAAAATCTAGTGGACATCTCGGAGTTGATGTGTTTACTAAAAAACGATTTAAAACATGGAGAAAGGTCAATGCTGGAAAGAAATGTGCTTTTCTTAATCATATTGGAGTGAGTCATTGTTCACCTCACAATAATTCTTTTAAATCTTCTCAAGACTTGTTCAATCAATCAATTCACATCAGAAATGTTCTTAATGTGCAGTGTGCTGATCAAGTCAGCCAAAATAGACTTCGTCTCAAGAGCTCTACTCATTCCATTCGTTGGCTCACATTTCAAGCTTGTTCCTTTAAAGGCCATGACGAATCACTTGGATCAAAAAATAGAGGTAACTTTCTTGAAATGGTAAACCTCTTAGCGTCATACAATGATGAACTTGCAAAAGTAGTACTAGAGAATACTCCATCAGGCACAAATTCATGTAGGTTGGAATGGGGTCAAGTGACCCCACTTGATTTTCCTTTTTAAAATCAATAATAATTAATTTTGGAATATTGACCCCACATTAAATACATCATTGTCCCCATACCACTCATTTGATTTGAATTTTAGAAAACATAAATCTGATTATTAATTTTGTTTTATTACTTTTAAAAAAAATGGAAATTAAAAAGACACAAGTAAATTGTATTTGTATAGGTTCTTCTAATTATAAATCAATTTACATACATACTCTATTTTTTGTCTTCTTTCTTCTACACACTTTATTTTTTCTTTATAAATCTCCTACTTTTAAATCTTATTTGTTTTTATCGTTTTATCATAGTAGAGTTAAAAGACAATATTCAAGTAAGTTTCTCCCTTCATTCTTTTTGTTGTTGTTGTATATTATATTATTATGTTGTGATTTTATATTTTTGTATCAATTTTTATCATGTTTTTAGTTTTAATTTTATCCTTGTAGAGTTGTAGTTTAGTTGTTGAATTAAAATCAAGTAACTAATTAGTGTTAAATTTTTATGTGTTAGAAATGGAAAAATATTTTAAAAGAAAACCAACATTGGAGTCTCAACAAGTTAATGAAGTGGAAAATGCATTTGCACAACAAGTAGGGTCATCTTTGAAAAAAAGATTTTTAGATGTTGATTTAGAGAGCAATTATAATCTTTTATATATATATGCTTTGTTTTGTAATATTTAACTTTTTAGATATATATTATCATAATCATTTTATGCATAAGTATTTATATTTTTTTATAAATATTTATATTATTTGATTTTTATTTTTGTATTAAAAAAATTAACCTTGACCCCATTAATTAAAATTTCTGGATCTGTCTCTGGACTCCATATAATTCAAAGTATACCTCTCATTCAATTTAAAAAAACTTGGAATATCATGTCTAGTAAAGCGAAAAGGTATATTTGAGAAGAGATTGGGGATTGTAAATTTTGCATAATTGTTGATGAATCGCGTGATGAATCTTTGAGGGAACAAATGACTATTATCTTGAGGTTTGTGGATAAAAATGGGTGTATTCAAGAACGATTTTTTGAGCTTGTACATGTTAACGACACTATGGTTATCACTCTTAAAAATGCAATTTGTGATGTTCTTTCTCAACATGGTCTAAATGTTTTAGGTATTCGTGGGCAAGTGTATGATGCTGCTAGTAATATGAGAGGGGAGTGGAATGGATTGCAAGCATTATTTATCAAGGATTGTCCTTATGCTTATTACATACACTGTTCTGCACATAGATTACAACTTATTTTGGTTGCTTCGTCAAGAGTAGTTTTTTTTGTTCATGATTTCTTTTCACACTTGACTCATATTGTCAATATTGTATGTTCCTCTAGTAATCATCATGTTGAGTTTCAAAATGTCAGTTTTGAGGAGATTTCACACATGCTAGAGATTGGTGAGCTTGATAGCGGTAAAGGACAAAATCAGATTGGTACTTTGAAACGAGCCGAAGATACACGTTGGTGCTCACATTTTTCTTTTGTTTGTAGTATGATGGATTTGCATAATCCAACTTGTGTGGTTCTTGCAGATATTAGAAAGAATGAGAGAAGTTATGCTACACGTGGGGATGATAATGCTGCTTATAATTTTATGAAATCATTTGAATTCACATTAATTTTGCACATGATGAGAGAACTTATGGGAATTACAGATCGTTTGTGTCAAGCTTTACAACAAAAAAATCAAGATATACTTAATTCTATGCAGTTAGTCACGACTACAAAGACATTAATTTAAAAGTTAAGAGAAGATGGATGGGATGGTTTGTTGAAAGATGTAATATTATTTTGTAAAAAATATGATATTGATTCTCTTGATTGTAATGCAGTTTATATAGAGCGTGAAGGTTGTGCGCGTCATCAAATGAATCACATCACTGTGGGTCAATATTTAAGTGTGGATCTCTTTTGTGTTACAATCGATCAACAACTGTAAGAATTGAATCATGGGTTTTGTGAGCAAACAATTGAGCTTTTAAGTCTAAGCAATAGTTTGGTCCCTAAGGATATTTACAAAGCATTTGATATAAATAATACATGTGCTCTTGTAGATAAATTCTATTCTACAGATTTTAGTGAGCATGAGAAAATTAGTTTGAGGTATCAACTTCAATACTTTCATCTTGATGTTGTTGATCATCCAGATTTAAATAACTTGTCAACTATGTCTGAATTGTGTGAATCTCTAAAAAAAAGACAGGGAAGGTATATACATATTATTTGATTGATCGACTTATCCGTCTTATCTTAACTCTTCTAGTTTCTACAGCTAGTACAAAAAAATTATTCTCAGCAATGAAAATAATCAAGACAAGATTACGCAATAAGATGGAGGATGAATTTCATGCTGACAATATGATGCTTTACATTGAAAAAGAAATAGTTGAACACTTCACCACTGATTCAATTATTGATGAGTTCAAGTCTTTAAAAGAGCAGAAGACGGTACTTTAAATCGAGGTTGGATATCTCTTTTTATATATTATATTTTTATTTTGTTAAAGTTATTTTGAATATTTGAAAAAATTGTATCTAAATTTTATAATTTTAAGACAATTTCAATTATAATAATTTAGTTAATATTTATCGATTCCCCTAATATTTTGTCAAGATCCACCACTGCTTATAGTCTTATAGAAAATAAGATACAAGAAAAATACTAAATGCTATACTACCTGTATTCAGTGGTAGAAATACTAATTATTTGTCTAACAAAAAAAATTTACACAACTAATTACCAATTGCCTCAGTTATTCAGCACAACTAATTACAAATTGCAATCTGCAACCAGTGGCGGAGGGAACTGTGAACAAAAGAATTTACTACTGCAGACTGCAGTATATCTATCATCAACACAATTTATTTACACAAAACAATAACATATCAATAAAGTGAAGTGAACGAATCGTGAATAAAAGCGTCGAAGTCAATGTCAAAACTATTATCGAAGCGTGTTCAAATCGAATTAGAAGTTGTGAATAAATATGTCGTCACTGTCGAAGCTGAGAAAAAACAAAATTGTCACCGATGCCAACGCGGTTGCACTTTATAAAGTAAATTAATGTGTGGTTGTTTGTTTTGTTTGTGAACGGTAGAAAAAAGAAGAGAAAATGTTTCTTGTGCTCAAAAAGTGAAATGTTGGATTGATTGCAAAAGCAAAAGTAACGTATGGAAGTTGAGTACGAAAGTGGAATAGTTTTGATTAATTTTTTTATTTTATTTTTGCTGTGTTCAAACAACATCGTTTTAGTATATAATTTTTTTTTAAATATTGAGGGGTGCAGCTGCTCCTGCCAACACCCTAGTAAATCTGCCACTACATGTCTTATTTGGCCTAACAACCTTTTAATTAGGGGTGACAAAATAAGTCAGATCTGTTAAACATGCACATTTAACCCATATCAAGTTAAGATTTCATGCTCACACCATCGATTTTTTTTTATTTATTTTTTTCAGAATTTGGTGGGCGCGAGATTAAATAGAGCGAAAATGACTTTTTTTTTTCAATTTTAAACTTTAGGTGTGGTATGGCTGGCAGAGTCTGCCCACTCTGTTTTCTAGCTAGTTGAGACAAGATTTCCAAGTCATTCAAAACCCCTATAACGTGTCTGTTTCGCCCTAGTTTTTAATTTGACAAACATAGTTGTTTGCCACCCATTTTCTTATCAGAACTACTAATTATCCATTAACTTATTAATCAACTACTTAACTAACAACTAACAATTTCTTAAATAACAATAAAGATACCTAACACAATATTTCAATGTTTTAAGAATATGTAAATTCGTACATAACATCGATGACATATATATTTATGCTTTTAAAAATAAAATGTTATATGGGACCCGTTTGTTTTAACTTTTTTTAAAAATAATTTTTATAGTGTAATATATTTTAGTGTAAAAAAGTTTTACAAAGAAATTTTTTATAAAAGTTTCAAATAGAAATTTAGTTTGAATAGTTATTTTTAAAATTTTATTTTAGATATTTCATCATTTTATTGAAATTATTTTTGGATATCAAAATTTCAAAAAAAAAAACACTTATTTTAAAGATATTTTAAATAGTTTTTCATAAAAATCATTTTTGAAATACAACTTTTTCAAAAAACTGTGATTTAGACTATGTTTTGTTTTTCTATAATATACTTTTATGTTATAGTAACTCAAAATTAGTCTTTTAATTTATAAAAATCAAATACAGAAAAATTTATAATATTTTAAAAAATAGTTTTGTAGAATCCATTTTTAAAAATATAAAAAAAAATTCAATTTTTTAAAGTTAAAACAAACTGAAGACATATATAACGTCCACTATTCAAAATATTGCAATGGTCGTCATGGGTATCGAAACCTTTTGAACTTAGGGCCTCACCTTGGGTTAAGTCATTCTTGTGATTGTGAATGCTCAAAATATTGCAAATTGGATAGGAATACCATAGGAAATGGGGAATTTACAAGGCTGAAGAAAAGATCTACATGACCATAAGAATTATATTAAATTTTGCAAGTTGCATGACTAGATATGATGATAGTAGAAGCTTTGAGAAGGAAGGAAGTAACACATGTGACTGTAGCATATTCAAGATTGCCTTCACGAGTTAAGAATATGTTAACCGATACTCTAGCATTGCTGCATGGTTGTTTTTTCAAATTTAGTTTTTAGTATATTTCATTTTCAATTTTGATTAGATTCGATTTTAGTTTCCGTTCAGTTCTAGAATCATTTTGTGCAATATATTTGGTTTACTAGCCAAACATAACAGTCACATTATTTAAACTTTTGGTTCAATTTAACGATTCAGTTCAGCTCATGATTTTTTTAACGCGGATAAATCAAATGCATTATCAGGTTTCCTACAACAACTACAAACATCAACTTATACAGAGAAATATAACAAAATGCAGCAAAAATAGATTAATTATCTGCAAGACTGCAGTGTTGGAAATTCACCTCACACCCTATGAAGAATTCCCTTCAATCTTGATCTCAAGATTGAT